TTTGTCGGCTTAAAAAGCACGCAACGATCTGAGAGTATGAATGCCTACCTTAAACGCTTTCTAAAAACAAGCAAACAATTATTCGAGTTTGTTAGGCACTATGACAGGGGCTTGTCAAGGATCAGGGAGTGTGAGGCCAATGATGACTTTGAGTCGGAACATTCTAGGCCAGTGATGCAGACAACACTTAGATGCTTAGAGCAACATGCTGCTACTCTATTTACCAGAAAGATTTTCTTCAAGGTCCGTGATAAGATACAAGAAGAAGCTGTATTTTTTGTCGTGGATAAGATCGCGATTGATAGTCATCGGAGTTACTATTTGTCTCGATTCACAAAACCACAATCAAGATGGATTGTGGAATATTATCCTCAAATTCATGCGTTTAAATGCAATTGCATGAAATTTGAGTCTTTTAGGATTCCATGCTCTCACATGATCGCGGTCATGAAGTATGAGCACATACAAGAGTTTCCTCATTCCATGGTGATGGATAGGTGGACCATTAAAGCAAAAGCTGGGTATACATGTGCACACGAATGTGGTAATGTGCAGCCGGATGTGTCAATTCCTACACGTTATGCTGGACTTATGTCAACGTGCAGCCAAATGTGTTATTATACTTCACAGTCGCTCTCAGACTCAAATGACTTGAGGAGTACGGTGCAACAAAGAACTTCTCTTCTTAAAGCCCGTCATGAGTCACTTGGCAAACACGATGCAAATGTGACGACTACACAATTCGGTGTGAATGATCCAAAGATTGTAAAAACCAAGGGTACTCATAGTCGTGCACAAAAGAATATTCCAATCAACCCACGAAGATGTAGTAAATGCAGGGGCACTGGCCATACTGTTAGAAAATGTTCACTCTTGATGTCTCAATCCAATGATCCATTCGAGGACATGCCTTTTTCACAACCAGTTGGATCACAACAACCACGGGACATTCCCTTTTTACAACTTAGTGGATCAGACCAGCCGTCCCACATGCCTTTTTCACAGCATGGTGGATCGCAACAATCTATGCCATCATCAAAAAAGGATGACCGTTGCATTCCCTTTGTCAATGAGGGTATCCTCAACTATCAGGTTCATATAATACTCTTTGGATGTTTATATTTTTTTTCATATGTACTCATTCCTTGTTATTTTAGGATGAAATGTCAAGCTTTGATTCTACCCTTCAATCACAATACATCAACACTAGTTTCAGTAATATGGAGGTAATTACAAATATTATAAATTTTATCCCACAAATTTTGTTTTTTCACTAGTGTCATCTAACCATAAATTTATGCTATCATAGTGGGCACCAAGATCATGGAGGAAGATGGGTTGATGAAATTTTACTTTTTTTGCCTTTTGAATAAAAAGGTTTAATTTACATTCTCCATTCCAAGTTTTTTTTTTCACTTAGATATACCCTTATTTTTTTTTTAGAGAACTTGAGAGACAATATTTTTGATTAAAAATTAAATTAAACCTAGCTTGAGGGAAGTATTTACCTTACCCTCGATGCAATCACGTGAACAGTAGCTAAGAGAGCCAAGATGAGCAATGTGTAGCAGCTATTTTGAGCATTCCAGCATTTCAAAAATAACAGCTGTTGGTAATTGACAGATGCCCAATATTGATTTTTCTGTGCAAAGTCTGCTCCTTGTCATTGCAGCTTGAATTCTAGCATGTCTTCTCCATCTTCCCCTATCAAGTTGTTTGACTTTGGGGCAGCAGGGGTGGGAGTAGAGGAGGTGCTGCCTACTGGAGAAGGGACACTTCCTTGCTCTGATTGTTCTAAGCTTTGTACTTTTGACTCCCCTGACATTGGATCAACTTTAATTACAAAATTTCTATCTGGCCTTTTCTTCCTGGATGATATTTTGTCAGATCATGCTTAACTGTGCTGACACACCAATAACATTCTCATTCCTACTGACCATTCAACTTATGTATTAAATGAAACTTATACATTATGCATGCTGACATTCTTTTTCATTGTCGTTGTGATAGTAGTATCTTCCTCATTAAACACAACCAATCAATATGTCTGTGAGGGTTAAGTTAATGTGCTGGTAACAATTTGGTGTTCCATGATATGTTTTCCATACAATGAAAAGTTTTATTCATGATAGTCTATGCAACAAATACATTTTCGGATTACTTAAAGTGAAAGGCCTTTGTTGTAAAAATACTTTTACTGTCCAACATTTATTGGTTTAGTAATTTTTTGACGTTGTTAGATTTAAGTTGATGTTGAATCTATAGAGAACTTTAATCTTAGACCGCAACAATTTAATTTGTCGTTGATCTTGCATTAAAAGTTGTCTCGTATGTAGATTGAGAGTGAAAGGGGAAGTATGAGTATGAGAAGCACAGTCACAGACTCCTTGGTTGGCGAAAGAGTCTGCAAATGCATTTCTTTCCTTATAGGAATGCTCCATTTCCACAAGAACCAAGCTCATTTTATATATAAAGAATAAACAATCTTTTGAGGCAATATTATCACGTTTTTTGGGTTAGATTACCATTTTTTTGATAAGATTACCACTTTTTTGAGTGAAAGATGACCGTGTTGAGGTAAACGTATCATTTTTTTTTTGATTAAGAGTACCACTCTTTTCGTTAATATTACCACTATTTTCGTAGACATTACAACTATTTTGGTTTCGGTACCACTATTTTGGATAACATTACCACTTTTTGGGTTAAAATTACCACTATTTTGATTAAGAGTACCACTCTTTTAGGTAAGATTACATGTTGAGGTAAAACCATTTTATTGGTTATTTTTTGGTTAACATTACAATTGATTAGGTTAACATTACTTTTGGTTAAGATTACACTTTTTTGGTTAACATTACAATTCTTTTGATTAAGATTACCATTTTTTTCTTTAAGATTACCACTGTTGAGTTAAGAGTACCATTTTTTTTTTCATAAAAACCCATTATTTGAGGCAAGATTACCACTATTTTAGTTAAGAGTACCATTTTTTTCATAAAAGTACCATTTTTTAGGCAAGATTACCACTATTTTGGTTAAGAGTACCTCTATTTTGGATAATATTATCACTTTTTTTGGTTAAGATTACCACTATTTTGGTTAAGAGTACCACTCTTTTGGTTAACATTACCACTCTTTTCGTAGACATTACCACTATTTTGGTTTCTATACCACTATTTTGGATAACATTACCAATTTTTTGGTTAAGATTACCACTATTTTGGTTAAAAGTACCACTCTTTTAGATAAGATTACATGTTCATGTAAGACCATTGGTTATTGGTTAACATTTTGATTAGGTTAACATTACTCATTATTACACTTTTTTTGTTAACATTACATTGATTAGGTTAACATTACTCATATAGGAGATTACACTTTTTTTGTTAACATTACAATTCTTTTGATTAAGATTACCATTTTTTTTCTTTAAATTACCACTGTTGAGGTAAGAATACCATTTTTTTGGTTAAGAGTTTCTTCATAAAAAGCCCATTATTTGAGGCAAGATTACCACTATTTTGGTTAAGAGTACCTCTGTTTTGGATAATATTATCACTTTTTTGGTTAAGATTACCACTATTTTGGTTAAGAGTTTTGGTTAACACTATCATTATTTTCGTAGACATTACCACTATTTTGGTTAAGAGTACCACTGTTTTAGATAACATTACAATTTTTTTGGTTAAGATTACCACTGTTTTGGTTAAGAGTACAACTCTTTTAGGTAAGATTACTTGTTGAGGTAGGACCATTTTATTGGTTATTTTTTGGTTAACATTACATTGTTAACATTACTTTTGGTTAAGATTACATTTTTTTGGTTAACGTTACCAAACTTGTGATTAACATTACCACTTTTTTTTGTGAAGTACCACTTTTTTTTTTGTTAATATTACCATTATTTAGTTACTATTACCATTATTTTGATAATGGTTCAAGTGTAGGTTTGCCATCAATCAAGTGGATCCGATCAAGTTAGCAATCAACAGTGGGATCAAGTGAGGTTAGCGATCCTTGATCGATCAAGAGTGGGATCAAGTGAGGTTTGCGATCAAGATTGGGATCAAGTGACCAAGAGTAGCTATCAATAGCTTCACACCGATAGGTGCAGCAGATCAATAGTGGGAACAAAGGATTTTTTTTTTTTAAATCTCAAATTTTATTGCATAAATCTCAAAATTACAAGAATAAAAAAAAAATAGAAACTGTTTAACCGAAAAAACATAATCTGTTTTAACATAAAAACCGAAAAACCAGAAAACTGTATTTCTGATTTATAACAGAAAACAGAACAACAAAGCAAAACAAATTTTCTATACAAATGCAATATTCCTGAAACTACTGGGTAACATCCTACCAACTCAATCCCAGCAAACCAGACCAGTTTAACTACTCAATCAACTGCACCAGTACACAGAACAGACTGCAGCAAAGCACTAGCTCCATTCTGCCATCTTCATCTCAGCATACCAATCTATTCCAATTTTCAACTGCTCAGCAATCTTAGTACTAAATTACCACAACCATGCTTATCCCAATCATTATTATTCTCATTTTACGTATAAAGAACAAAGATATTTTAGATTTTTGACAAAAACACTACTGCTAGTTCAACTATAATTGCATACAATTGTCACTACTGCTACTTCAACTATTGTATCAAAAACCAACAACTAAAATTACATACAATTGTCACTTTAGTCTTTGCTTTTCATAAAAAAAGACTCAATTCTATCCAACCTACTACCCATCCTCTTCAGAGACTCCTTTATTTCATTTTGAGAATATTCAAATTCCTCCATCTTTCTACCCAATCGTACCAGCAACATTCCATATACCTACAATGCATCAAGAGGAAGACCATATGTGGAAGAATTTGGGACACCAGCTGTGGAAGAATTTGGTACACCAGCGGTTGAAGAATTTGGGACATCCTAGATTTGGGCTTCATCATCCTCAGCTTCAACTTCATTCTCGACTTGTGGCTGTGGTTGCTATGTTGTATTCTTCTTCCCTTGCGCCAAACTCTTCTTTATTGTCCCACCATAAATTGGATTCATGGGAGTGGAATAAGTGTCACTTGAGTGAATCACAACTCCATAATCCTCCATAGTCTTTGAAATCAAAATTGGGAATGGGAGACATCGTCGCCTATCCTTTATACCTTATACCGAAATAATTTCATCAACTATTAAACAAGGTAAATCTATACATATACCCTTTCCAATGGCATACAAGAGATGAGCTCGATGAAGTCCAAACTTAGCAGTATGTCCTTTTGGTATAATATTGTACCCCACTATAAGATTTAACATCCTATATTTGGGAGTAAGGTCTTGCTGAAAAAATTCTGGATCGTCAACACTCTCACTAAATTTATTAGGTATACCCTCAATTTCTGCATGAACATCTTTCAGCTTAAGTATGTCCTTAAAATTCTTGAATGGATAGGTAAGGGTATTATTAGAAATGAAGGGTCGGCGAACTCCCAATATTTTTGAAACTAACTCTAGAGTTACTTCAAAACTTACGTTCCTCACAAGGGACTTAAACTTGTAATCATCTCTATCAATATCATGCATATTAGAATATAATATCTTCACCAATGTATTATATGTTTTATCCGTCTTCTTGATATCTACCGCAGAATTCCATTGATGAAGAGAAAAAATAACATCACATCCTGCCTCTTTTAATTGATCTAGTAAAACACCCCTCTCCAATAACAAAGGCCTATAATTAATGTAGTTCTCATACCACTGTTTGCAATCTTTGTTGAAGAAAGATATTTCCTCATCACATATGGGGTTGGATGAACTTGGTGGATGATTTACAGTGGGATCAACTGGATTGAAGGAGGTGGGATTGGTGGAGGTGTAATCAACAGTTGGATCCATGGAGGAAGGATGATTACATTTCTTCTTCTTCGAGGAGGAGGAGGGAGGATCATTACAACTTTTCTTCCTCTTCTTTTTTCACTGGTATCCACAACTTTTGGCCTATATTTCTTTCTACCGGTCATTCTACTGTAACAAAAAAAAAAAATCTACTCAAAAAAGCAATAACATGGAAAATTATCTATTATTTTGAGCAATAACAATTGAAGATGTGAGGAAGATAGGATTGCTTGAACCATCACTCACAAAACCACAATTCGTTCAACCCCAAAACACATCCCTTATGCAACTATTTGTACAAAAATTTTATGAAATTCAGAGAGACAGACACAACTATGTATAAAAAATTATGACGAAATAAACTTGTTTTTTTGCTAATTAAACAAAAAAAAGAAAAGAAAAGAAAACTACCATAGAGGAGCCGAATTCTCATGACAATATACACCCCACACGCAAGTTAAACAACCACGACACCCCAAGTCGTAGGCACCTTTCTCTCCCTTCTCTGATGGAAAAACACGATGCAAGCTGTTTCGAGACGATTAGGGCGCCAAACTTTGAAGCACTCACCTGATTTAGGATTTTAGGTATGCAATCAGGATGAGTTTTCACGAATTTGAGCTTAGATTTGGGGTTAGATCACTGATTTAGGGTTAGATAGTTGGTTTAGGGTTAGATGGTTGATTTAGGGTTTGAGGAGTTGGGTTTTCGGTTTGCTGTGCTTGGGGGGAATAGAAGAAAAAGTTTGATCGCTAGTGATCGATTAAACTTGGATCCAGATCACGCGATTGGATCCGGGGATTGGATCCGGCGATTGCGAATAGAAGAAAACGTGATCGCTATAGTGAGCAATCACACTTGAATCCAGCGATCAGGAATAGAAGAAAATGTGATCGCTATAGTGAGCGATCACACTTGGATCCAGCGATCACAATTGTTCCTTTGAGCATCCAGATTTTATCTTCAGTAAATATCACTTATACCTCAAAATTTTCACTTTTTTTTTCAATTTTTGCCTCATATTTTTCATATATTACACCCTCAACTATTAATTAATTTCATATTCCCCCAATTTATTTTACCTAATTTAATTTAACATATTTGATAACTTTGTTATAATTTTTTTAGCGTTAAAACAAATGTTGTAATAATTTTACCTTTCCCCCAAATTATTTTACCCATTTTAATTTAACATATTTGATAACTTTTTTATAATTTATTTAGCGTTAAATACAAAAGTTGTAATAATTTTACCTTAACCCAAAATATAACCCCAATTTTTTTTGATAATGTAACATTTTAATAATAGCAATGTGCTAAACTTTAATTGTAATTTAGCCTTGTAAACTTAATAACCTAATCCTACCAATGGACTTTGGTCCAATGGTACTCCTATAAGAAGGTTTTGTCTTCTTGAGGTCAAGGGTTAAAACCCTCTTTTCTCTCCCCTCCCAAAAAAAAAATATTACTCTTTTAAAAAAGAAAAAGAAAAAAAATAAAAATTAATAACCTAATCCTAACCTCTAATATTTCTAAAATTTAATGTCACTGTAAAATTTTTCTTATATTTTTTTTTCACGTTTAAATATGATAAATAATTATAATTTTTTAAAACTAATTTTAGTTATTGAAATTTATTATTATTTTTTTATTTAGGTTTAAATCAGATAAATAATTATCATTTTTTAAAACTAATTTTAATTTCTATTATATCTTCTTCTTTTTTAAGTGTGTAGCGCTTGTATTTATTTTTAAAATATATACCGGTTAAACCGGTTATAAGTTTTGATAAGTTTATATGGGTACAAGTGTCAACGTTATATTCTTTTTTTATTTTCGGTATCGTACCGAATTTCACTTTTTGGTATTGAAGCCAACTCCCTCAAATTCACCTCCAACTCCCTCAAATTCACCTCTGGGAATTATATTCTTAAAAATGTAGATAAGAAAAGATGTAGTAACCTCTCTCTAGCCCCAGCTATAGGCGAAGGAAGTCTTGTACACTGAGGGTGTTGGATTTAGGCATTAGATGTGAAATTGGACTAATTAATTTGATGAGCAAATAGGTGATAAACACAACCATGCATATAGGTCTATAGCTTTGTGAGAGGGACTTGAATTTTATCTCGATGCTCGGTGTCTTTTGATTTCGCGGCCGGTGGATTCGAGTTTATCTCACAAGAATGCTTTGCAAAGGTGTATTGAGCATGCAAAGCTTTGGCTTTTGAAGTCTGATAAGCCCATTGAAGAAAATTCAGCCATTACCTGTATGAATTAGTTTTTCTAATTTGTCAATTTACAAATTTGGGGATTTCTTTATGTTCTTTAATTGATGATTTATTTTGTAGATTTTGGGTTGAGAGATCTTGAAAGATTTTCAAACTAGCTGCAAAAAAAAAAGAACTGGAAGAGCTTGTCTAGTTAATTTTAGTGCAAAAGCCAAGAGTTAATGCAAAGGTCAGTGTATCAATTACTATTACTTTTACTATTATATCAAATATTTGTTTTGAAGTATTTTGTATGGTTCTTTGCATGTTCAACTATTTTCTGGTATTATGTTTCTAAATCATTGTTTGATTACTGTTTAAATGAAAAAAAAAATATTTTTAATGAGTTGGAGTATTGTTGAACCAATACTGTGCAAACCAGGTTTTTATTGAATTGATAGTTTATCAATTCCTATGTTTTAGTTTATTAATACCTATATTTACGTTAAAATTTTCTATGTTGATGTTTCTTTATTTTATTACAACGGGATAAAATATAAATTGCCATATGATTTGTAATTGTCACATTCTTCTAAACTTGCTCTATATATTCTTAAATTGACAACATAGTTTGATAGCAATCCTAGGTCCACATGAAAACCAATTGAATACCAAGAAATACATGGAAAAACTAAAATTGTATAATAATGTCGAATATTTCAGTCATTAGTACTTGTTGTAGAAAAGATTATACTTTTAATGCTGGAAGAAATAGTCTAAACACCATATATTGTAAAAAACATTTGAAAAAATTAAAAGATTAAGTGCCTTTTTTCTTGGTGTTTTAATTATTCACTTACCTTTACAAAAAATAATTCAATTTTATTACAAAAAAAAATTTTATTACTCATCAACTTTGTATTTCAAATAAATTTAATAACAAATTAATGAACTAAATTTTTTAGTTTCAATAAATGTCATAATAGAACATGAATTTTGGTTGTAAAAATTAAAATATTTGATATTCTATCTTTGATTAGAGTATTTTTTTTATCTAAATATAACATTTTAAACTTGAGGTGTTTAAATATTACACATTTACAAACTTCAGGAGGTTTGAGTATAATTTATTAACCGATATAGTAACAAATATTGACAACAAGGGTCTCTAAGTATTAAAAACATACAAATCTCAGAGATCTGTGTATAATATTTCAAATATCAGCAAATTTCAAGAAATTGAGTGTAATTCTCCCTAGCTAAATTTAAAAGAGTATATTTTATAGGCAAGGGAGACACGTAATGATGGAAGGTGATTTCCATTTTTTTTTAACTTAATATTATACGTTAATCTCTTATTTAAATATAGAATTGGAATTAAGTCAATGATCGAACTCACGCATACTCTAACCTGATCCAAACACAATATAATTGTGATAGGATATACTATACAGTAGTAAGTTAATTATTATCAACGATATATAGATTAAATAGAAATTAATTGTTTAATCCAATCCAATTTTATAACCGAACAAAACATGCCTATATTCTATGAACTAGTATGCAACATCAAGGGCAAAAACAAGACAGTAAACACATCAAACAAGGATTTGAATGTTTCGACAATACAGAAATAGCAAAGATACAGCTGCACCATTCAGTCTAGTGTAATTGGTGATGCATGGCTCAATTTGTGAATAAGCAGCTGGGCATTATTGTACGGTTCTTAAGAGATACAATTTTACCCTAATTAATTGACTTTGTCCAGAAAAAAAAATACTTTTTTTTAAAATAAACATGATTTTTTATGATTGGTATGTGCCATGTCTGCTCGAGAACTAAATAAATATGCTAAGAAAAAAATATACAAACTAGGTTTATGAACTTATTAACTTCACGAGGTTGGTAATTTTAACTCACTCTCTATTCTATTTTTAATAAATATAAAGAACTATTTATTATTATAAGATTATTTTGTTCTTAGAATAGAGAGGTTATTAGAGTTATATAAAAAAAAATTATTTTCTATTTTAAATTTTTATTAAATATACTTTAATTCTTTTAAATAGTGTACTATTAAAAATCCCATAAAAAGAGAAACATGGTACAAAGAGTCTGATTTTCCAGCGAATCTCTGAACATAGAAGATAGCCCAATCCCACGACACAAGGTCCAACGCCCCATCGTTACTCTCTCTCTCTCTCTCTCTCTCTCTCTCTCTCTCTCTCTCTCTCTCTAAGTATGCAATTTTGATTTAAATTTAGTTTGAATTTAAATTGGATTTATTGATATAAATTAATATTTTTATCAGTAATTTAAATTCGGACTCGAATTTATTATATTCTGTTTAATTGATTCGAATTTAAATATATTAATAGCTGATCAAATTATAATTTAATCTAAATTATACATTTATGTTTTTATAAATATAGGATAAGATCAAGTGAATAGATTTAATTTATTTAATCAGATGGAATCTCTAATTCTTAAAAAAATTGACTATAAATTTTTAAAAAAATTATCAAATAATCAGGCCAAATGCGGATTGAAACTTTCTGGTCACATTCTTATTGAAAGGGATTAGAATTGATCCAAGCCCAATTGGGCAAGATACATAGACTTTATCCTTTTCGTCTTCTTCAAACATAACAAATCAGTATTTGTCGATACGATATTATTAGCCCCTCCAATGAAACTAACCATGTGGCATCATGGGTTATTGTTGATTAATGTTGTTAGAGACTAAATTCTGATATGAAAGTGGTCTAATTTATGCCTTCGGCATAACGAGTA